ATTTCTTGAGCAATCTGTGGTATGTTTTAATTACATCTAGAAAAGAAACCATTTTAAGACAAAACCTCACATTTAAAAAAAAAATCTTTCCTGGGCTGGGAAGGTGGCTCAGTGGTAGAGTGCTTGCCTTGCATGCCTGAGGCCCTGGGTTCGATTCCTCAGCACCACATAAACAAAAAGAAAAAAGCCAGAAGTGGCGCTGTGGCTCAAGTGGTAGAGCGCTAGCCTTGAGCTGAAGAGCTGAGGGACAGCGTCCAGGCTCAGAGTTCAGGCCCCAGGACCGGACCCCCCTCCCAAAAAAAACTTTCCTAATCCCAGATCAGTTCCTCTTTTCCTTAACAAGAGCCACATCACTTTTAAGCAAAACACTTTGATAGAAAAGACAGTTCTTCTCATAACCAGAGTGCCTCCAGACAGAATCATATGTTCCTAGATAAGGGATAAGGGACAATCTCTAAGAATCTAGCTCCCAAGAATAAACAACCCACTGCCTTCCACAAACAAGCCAGAGAGAGGGAGGTTGGGGGACATGGAAAGAGAACACATAAACCATAAGAGGACCGGAGACACAGCAAGTAATTACCGATGACTAAGCCAAATCCTCACCCTGATCCAAAGAAACTAAGGGAGACAACTGAGAAAAAGATCCTTGTGACCTTGATAATTCCCTTGATCTCAAAGAAATACTGGTAAGTTTTCCAGTTTTGAGGGTTGATAAAAACAGAACCCTTATCCAGGATACCTTAAGTCCTATCTTTTAGACTGTCTGACTTATGAGCAACTAGAAAGATTAAAAAAAAGACATACTTAAATGGGAAGAGAAAAAAAGTACAGACGAATTAAACTTGGCTAAGAAGTAATATCATGGAGCCAGTGATGAGTACACAGCTCCCTGTATAATAAACCTCACCTCTCAATGTGCCTAAAGCATGCATTAATAAATCTGGCAGACAGCTCCACTAACAAACTTCTCAGCATGTGACTCCAGAGCGGCCATGGGAGAGAGGGAAGAATTTATAGTTCCTTGAACTAGCCTCAAGGAGCTCTCTTTCTGTGTCTCTGTCTCTCTCTGGCACTGCTGAGGATTGAATTAAAGGTCTTGTGCTTACTAAGTAGGTACTCTACCACTTGAGTCATACCTCCAAGTCCCTTTTTACATTTTTTTTGGTTGGTCATAAGGCTCAAACTCTGGGCCTAAGCACTGTCCTTCAGCTCTTCAGCTCAAGGTGAGTGCTCTACCACTTGAGCCACAGTACCACTTCTGGTTTTCTGGGTAATTTATTGGAGATAAGAGTCTCATGGACTTTCCTGCCTGGGTTGGTTTTGAACCGTGACCCTCAGATCTCAGTCTCCTGAGTAGCTAGGATTACAGGTGTGAGCCACTGGCACCTGGCTTACACTGGCTATTGGACTGAGATTTTCTTCCTTGTGCTTCTCCATGGTGCTGGGGATGACAGAAGTATGTCAGTGTGACATTGTGACATTGAGTGAAAGGGAATCTGTTCTACTTTTATGCCTGGTCTGGACTGGATTCCTGCTCTCCGGATCTCTGCCTTCGGACAAGCTAGATTACAGGCTAAGCCACTGCTCCTATCTTTGGAATCCTATCTTGATGTGTGAACCTGATGTTTGAAACATGGTCATAATACACAGGAGCCAGTTCCTTAGCAGTAAACTATTACACAGTTGGGAGAAAAGTCTTCTGTCTCATATAAAGAAACACTGGTCTATATTGTGTTCCCTCCTAAGGGAGCTTCAGGAATGCTAAATGTAGAATTCCACCCCAAGTAAGGCCTGCTCCTCTTGTTGGAGTAAACCTCATCCCCTTCCCAAGCGGACCCTACCAGCCCTCAGTAGACTACCTTGTAACTGAGGAAAAAACAACAAAACAAAACAAAAAACAAAACAAACTTCTACCTTGGTCAGCCCAGTGTGGTTTTCAGTCTTTCAGTTATAAGCCACAATAACTCACACCAACTAAGCAAGGAAAGTATTCTACTTTATCTTGAAAACTTGCTTTGCCCCCACTAGAAATACTCCCTCTATTCCTTTTAGTTCTCTCTTCCTGTCACTTAGCATAGACTCCTTCGCTCTGCAGTGTTCTTGGAAACCTACACAAAACAAGAACGGTGCTCAAGTTGCTGCTATCCTCTACTGCCAATTTTTATTTCCTTCTTCATGTCGGGAATTAAATCTCTTTCCTCTGAATCCAGGCTTCTGAGAAGCTCGGCCAGCAAGGAGATGGAGTGCTTCACGCTCCCATTTCAATGATTTCACCACTGGTTGCTGAGCTGGCTGCAAATGGTTCACAGCAGGGGTAGGGAATAAAGCTAGCATCCTGGACAACCTCAGTGGCCCAGAGCCTGAAGTCTAGTCAGTTGTAATCCCTCAAAGGAAAACAAACTGAAGAAAGCATAGTACATTGGGGAGTATTTAGGAATGTGAAATAAAAAAGATATTCAAACTTATTTACTTCCTCTCTTTTTCTTTTGTCTTGTGCTAATACAAAGGCTTGATTTCAGGGCCAGGGCACTGTCTTTTAACTTTTTTTTTGCTCAAGGTTGGCACTTTACCATTTAAGTCATAGCTCTACTTCTAGTGTTTTGATGGTTAATTGGAGTCTCAAAGGCTTTCTTGCCCAGGCTGGCTTTGAACCTTGATCCTCATCTTTCAGTCTCCTGAGTAGCTAGAATTACAGCCATGAGCCTTCAGTGCCTGGTTCTATTTCCTTTTAATCAAGGATTCATGAAAACCTAGAAAACTTGAGGCTGGGTTTTTAAGATGGCTTGGCACTGTAAAAGGAAGATTTTTTTTTTTTTTGGTCAGTCCTGGGGCTTGAACTCAGGGCCTGGGCACTGTCCCTAAGCTTCATTTGCTCAAGGCTAGCACTCGACCATTTGAGCCACAGTGCTACTTCCGGCTTTTTCTGTGTATGTGGTACTGAGGAATCAAACTCAGGGCTTCATGCATGCTTGGCAAGTACTCTACTATGAGGCTACATTCCCAGCCCAAGGAAGAATCTTTTTAAAAATGGTGGTTCCATTTAGAGGTTTTCCATTTTTAGCAATGCGTACATAATAATGGTACCTAAATCATAAATCATTATCTATTTAGATAACAGATCGGCTATAAAATAATTTAGAACAGAGCCTCAAGGGTCAACTTTTTCCAGTGGTACACAGAGACACCAATGCAGGTAACCTTATAGTGTATTTATTTTAATCTTAAAGAAATCATGTTAATATCCCAAGAGTGATATCCTATCTACTCTTATAGATCTGGAATACTTTCGAGTTCTGGTTGGTCACTAACATCACAGAATGGCTATGGTGATCATTTTTCAGATTGCCTAGACATGAGATTTCACAGCCAAAAAGATTTCATTTATTTATTTGATGGTTACCAGGTTTTAACCTAGGGCCTTAAGCTTAACTGGGCTTGTTTGCTCAGCTGGCACTTGAGCCATGTCTTCAGCCCAGTATTGCTCTGGTCATTTTGGAGATGGAGTCTTACAGACTTTTCTACTTGGACTTCAAATTACAAACCCTGTAGGCTCTGAACCTCATGAGTAGCTAGGATTACAGGTATGAGTTACCAGTGCCCTGCTAGGAAGAACTGTTTTTAAAGGTTCAAGTCCAATCAAATTCTTACACAGAAAAGGTTCAAGCCTGGAATTCTCCAGTAGGACTTTTTAATTTCAAAAGAAATTATGAGACAAGTACAAATAGATACCAAATTCAGGAAAACAGTATGTTCTATGACATCATGAATAAATTTAATCATGGGGGGAAAAGGGCTGGAAAATTGTGATTGTTATTGTTCTAAGATGTTTACTAAGCATAGACACCAGAGTAAAGACCCCCGAGTCAGGCCTAAGAATGTTTTTGTTTTTGTTTTTTTGGTCAGTTGTAGGGCCTGAACTCTGGGCCTGGGTGCTGTCCCTCGGCTCTTCAGCTCAAGGCTAGTGCCCTACCACTTGAAGCACAGTACCACTTCTGGCTTTTTCTGCTTATGTGGGGCTGAGGAATCAAACCCAGGGCATCATGCATGTAAGGCAAGCGCTCTACCACTGAACCAACTTCCCAGCCCCTAGGAATCTTCACCAATGTGACAATGCTACTGAGCCTGGCAGTCACTCAGAGGAAGACCAAAGCTATGCAGTCAACAGAGAAAGCAATGTAAAGAAACTGTCTAATGGAGGATTGCAGGACAAAAATGCACACTGGATTAAATTTTTAATGAAGAAAAGGAAGCAGAGAACAACTTATCTCTACTGACGTCAGAGCCCTTAAGTGACTGGCACAGGATAGGAAATATCTACATAGACTCTGCTTTGAATCGTACAGACTCTCCTAAAGAACACTGGAAACTAAAAATGCCCAGAGAGCCAAATACAATGTTTTTCATTTAAAATGGTCTCCTTCTAAGCTTTCAGGGAACAGGGAGATAAGTATGGAATATTGCATTTATATTCAGCTATGGAATATATAATGGGCCATTAATGAGATGATAAACAAATCATTTATCACCGCCCCATCCATTTATCACTTTTCTTTTTTTTTTTTTACATGCATACACATAAAACGGCATGTGTGTAACCCTTTAAAGCATCACATTTGTCGTGGTTCTTTTACATTCTCCATTGCTCATCCCTACAAGATATCACTCAGGATGTCCTGGCCTTCTGAAAGGCTCCAGAGCATGATTGATTGGTTTCATTGTTCATTACATTTTTTTTTTTTTTTTTTTTTTTTTTTTTATTTTTTTATTTTTTTTTATTTTTTTTTTTTTTTTATTGTAAAGCTACTATACAGAGGGTCACAGTTACATGAGTGAGGTTATGAGTACACTTCCTCTTGAACATTGTTACCCCCTCCATTGTTTTCCCCCTACCATCCCCTCCCTCCCTCCCTTCCCCGAGGTTCTTTTTTTTTTTTTTTTTTTTTTTGATTGTGATTAAATGATTACATAATTTCAAAGTCACAAGTTCACCATTCGGAGCCTTCACTGCCAGGCAGCAGAACTGTGAGCTACAGTTAAGTAGAAATCAAGGAAGATGAGTTCTAGCATGAGCATGGGTGAACCAAGACTGAACTGGGATGTTTCTCCCAAAAATGGCCTGAAGACTTTTTTCTCTCAAGAAAACTATAAAGATCATTCCATGGCTCCAAGTTTAAAAGAACTGTTAACTTTATCTAGCAGACGTATAGGAGAAAATCTGAATGCCTCAGCAAATTCTATGGAAAGTGAGCTGACAGTTAGTTCAGCACCTCAAACAAAGGAGAAAGTTGGAATGGTTCTTCTTCCAAAACCAAGAGTTCCCTACCCTCGTTTCTCCCGCTTCTCACAGAGAGAGCAGAGGACTTATGTGGATTTATTAGTTAAATATGCAAAGATTCCAGCAAATTCCAACACCGTTGGTATAAACAAAAGTGAATATTTGCAGTATTTGGACATGAAAAAGCATGTGAATGAAGAAGTGACTGAATTCCTAAAGTTTTTGCAGAACTCTGCGAAGAAGTGTGCGCAGGATTATAATATGCTTTCTGAGGATGCCCGTCTTTTCACAGAGCAAATTTTAAGAGCCTGCATTGAGCAAGTAAAGAAGTACCCAGAATTTTTTTCTCTTCATGAAGTTACCAGCTTAATGGGATTCTTCCCATTCAGAACCGAGATAGGATTGAAATTAGAAAAAACCCTTCTTGTGTTGGGCAATGTAAAATTTGTGAAAACAGTATTTCCTTCAATGCCAGCAAAGTTATATCTCTCAAAAGATGATATGTCTTCCACAGAAATACCAAAACAAATCGCTGAAGCTATGCACTCGGATATCAGTAAAGATCCAAATGCTGAGAAGCTTGTTTCAAGGTACCATCCTCAGATAGCTCTCACTAGTCAATCATTATTTGCATTACTAAACAACCATGGACCAAGCTACAAGGAACAGTGGGAAATTCCAGTATGTGTTCAACTAGTGCCTGTTGCAGGTTCCAAACCAGTTAAAGTCATTTATATTAATTCACCACTTCCCTCAAAGCAAATGACAACGAGAGAGAGAAATCAAATCTTTCATGAAGTTCCATTAAAATGTATGATGTCCAAAAACACATCAGTTCCAGTCTCTGCAGTATTCATGGACAAACCTGAAGAGTCTGTGCCTGAGATGGACGTATGTAATGCTATTCTCCTCCCTCAGGAGAATGGACTTGTTTATCTTTTTGAGACATAAGGTTTTCTTGCAAGTCTCTGAACTTAGGTAGAAATTCTGTCTTTAGAATACAGTTTGCATGTACCAAAATGTTATGTGGTCCACTGCTGATATGATAGTTCTGATGTTGCACTTAAAAATGGATCTAGTTTTTTTTATGGGAAAATGATCTGAATAGACATTTCTCAGAACAAAATGTACAGACAGCTGACAAGTATATGAAAAATGTTCACTATCATTAATCTTCAGGGAAATGCAACCAAACCACAATGACATGACATCTCCTCTTGATTAGGATGGATGTAATCAAAGAGACCAATGCTGGTGAGGGTACAGTAAATCAGTACAACCTTAGTGGAAAACAGTATGGAGGTCCCTCAAAAAATGAGAAATAGGACTACCAGGGGATCCAGCAATCCCACTCTTCAATGTACATATTTCAAAAGATAAAAGAAACAAAGGAGATACCTGAACTCCTGTATTGCTTGCAGAGTAGCAAAGATATGGAATCCAAGTGTCCACTAATGGATAAAGAAAATGTGGTCTATTGATACAATAGAATAGTATTGGACCTTTAAAAAGAAGGAAATCCTCTCATTTGCAAAGTCACAAGTTCATTCTAACTTCCCTGGAGCAAATTGTCTACCACAGTCTGTAATATATAACAGTGTTCACATGTTATATACCATATTTGTGATCAGCAGCATGAGGATATTTAGTAGTGGTTCAACCAGATGAGCGGGAGTTCTTTGTTTCTTAAGTCCTGTTAGTTTTGTCGTATCACTAACCTTTTGGATTTAGCATCCACTTATGAGGGAGACCATGTACCGTTTGTCTCTTCGTTCTTGGCTTACCTCGCTCAACATGATTCCTTCTAGCTCCATCCATTTCCCTGCAAATGCCATTATTTTGTCATTTCTAATGGCTGCATAATATTCCATTGTGTATAGATACCACAATTTTTGGATCCATTCATCTGTGGTGGGGCACCTAGGTTGTTTCCATATCCTAGCTATTGCGAACAGTGCTGCAATAAACATGGAGGTGCACGTGTCCTTGTATATTGGTTCCTGTTGTTCAGGGTAGATGCCTAGAAGTGGTATGACTGGGTCGTAAGGGAGGTCAATCTTTAGCTTTCTAAGGACCCTCCAGACTGCTTTCCAAAGTGGTTGTATAAGTGTACATTCCCACCAGCAGTGTAATAGGGTTCCTCTTTCTCCACATCCCCTCCAGCATTTGTCGTTGGCTGATTTGTGGATGTGGGACATTCTGACTGGGGTAAGGTGGTATCTCAGGGTTGTCTTTATTTGCATTTCCTTCACCACCAGGGATGATGAACATTTCCTCATGTGTTTCTTTGCCATTTTTATTTCTTCATTTGAGAAGTCCCTCTTTAGTTCCCTTGCCCATTTAGTAATTGGTTTGTTAGGTTTGGGAGGGATTAGTTTCTTGAGTTCCCTGTATATACAGGATGTTAACCCCTTGTCTGATATATTGCTGGTAAATATTTTTTCCCAATTAGTTGGTTGTCTTTCTAGCTTAGTTGCGATAGATTTAGCTGTGCAGAAGCTTTTTATTTTAAGGTAGTCCCATTTGTCGAGTCTCTCTCCAACTTGTTGTGACCCTGGGACTCTGTTCAGGAAGTTCCTTCCTGTGCCTATTAGTTCAAGTGTCTCTCCTACTCTGTCCTGCAGTAGTTTCAGAGATTCAGGTTTAATGTTAAGGTCTTTAATCCATTTTGAGTTGATGTTGGTGCATGGTGATAGGCTGGGGTCCACTTTTAGTTTTCTGCATGTGGCTGCCCAGTTTTCCCAGCACCAGCGGTTGAAGAGGCTGTGTTTCTTCCATTGTATGTCTTTGGCTCCTTTGTCGAATATCAGCTGGCTGTAGGCCTGTGGATTTATATCTGGATCTTCTATTCTGTTCCATTGGTCTTCGGGTCTGTTTTTGTGCCAGTACCATGCTGTCTTTGTGATTATAGCTCTGTAGTAGAGTTTGAAGTTCGGCATGGATAGCCCTCCCATATTGTCTTTATCCCCTAGAATTGTTTTGGCTATTCTAGGTCTTTTGTTGTTCCATATAAATTTTTGGACTGTTTTCTGTATTTCAGTGATGTACGTCATTGGGATTTTAATAGGAATTGCATTGAATTTGTATATTAATTTTGGAAGTATCACCATCTTTACTATATTAAGTCGGCCTATCCAGGAGCATGGGAGGTCTTTCCATTTCCTAGTGTCTTCTGCAATTTCTTTCTTTAACTTTTTATAGTTCTCATTAAATAGTTCTTTTACATCTTTGGTTAGGTTAATTCCTAAATATTTTATTTTTTGGGAGGTTATTGTGAATGGGGTTGCTCCCTTTATTTCCCTCTCTTCCTGTGCGTTATCAGTGTATAGGAAGGCAACTGATTTTTGTGGGTTTATTTTGTATCCTGCTATTTTGCCGAAGTGACTTATGATTTCTAAAAGTTTGGGGATGGAGTTTTTGGGATCGTGGAGGTATAGTATCATGTCGTCTGCAAAAAGGGATAGTTTCACTTCTTCTTTCCCTATGCGGATCCCTTTAATGTCTTTTTCTTGCCTTATTGCCCTGGCTAAGGGTTCTAGGACTATGTTGAAGAGGAGTGGAGACAGTGGACATCCTTGCCTTGTTCCTGTTTTTAGGAGGATTGGTTGTAGCTTTTCCCCATTAAGTATAATATTGGCTATTGGTCTGTCATAAATGGCTTTTATTGTTTTTAGAAATGTTCCTTCTATTCCTATTTTCTCCAGAGCTTTTAGCATGAATGAATGTTGAATTTTATCAAAGGCCTTTTCTGCATCTGTGGCGATAATCATGTGATTCTTGACCTTGGCTCTGTTGATATGCTGGATTATGTTCATTACATTTTATTCTGACGTGAACCGGTCCAGATTCCTTACAGCAATTCTCCTTTCCTCTAGTTTATGTAAAAATAAAAGCCACAGCTAAGATTTACTCAGGACTTTATATACTTTCAGAAATGTCAAGATTTCAGGTAATCGCTGTGTTCCTATATGTTTAAGACAAATGTGTCCACTGCTCTTGTCTGATAGAGCTTTTTCCATAAAAGGGCAGGGAATAAATATTCTCAGGGCAGAGACAACCAACTGAAGCACACCACTCAGGCAGAAAACAGAGAGCAAAGGCAGGCAGAACAAAAAACAGCCAGCTAAGCCTGTCAAATTTCATTTTAAGTTTCCCAGAAAGTGGGAGATGCTGATACGAACGTAAGGCAGTAATCTCAGAGGGAGGAAGTGTTCAGGACTGAACCACCATGCTCCAATCCAAACAGACACATGGGAGCACTCAGGACTTTCAGAAACAGAGATGGAGCAAGCTCTCCTGGAACAGGTGGTTTGGCTACTTTTCTCTCTTATGACTTCCTGGTCTTAGAGGAGTTTCACCCACAATTCCCTCTGCACTCAGTATCCAAGGAGAAGTCAAAGGAAAGTGTGCTGTTCCACACTGACCCTGCATACACTTTCACACAACACATGCCTTTCAGACCTGAAACCTCAGGAAAAGCACAGATCAGATAATTTGCCCCTGCATGCTACCCCAGACCTTGTAGAGAGGGAGAATCATAACACACCCTGAGAGTTCTCATCATGACTCCCTCCAGATAGGAAAGATCTCCCCTGTCCTGGGAGCTTCTCATACTTACTTTGATTCAGCACTTCAGGCTGTTCCCTTGAGCTCTGACCAGCCTAGAACTCCTCATACTTGAGGTTGGCCCCTCACCAGATTCTAGTATATACTTATGGTCTAGCATTTGGCTTACCCCTCCCTAGCTTCCAGGAACTCACCTGAAAGGCTGATAGTCTTTTGTCAAATGTCACTGGGACAGAGGCTGTCTCACAACAGTCAAGGATCTACACACCTTTACCAGGATTCTGTAAAACACTGCCAGGTTTTCATTCTTCCCCTGATTTCAGTGTTCAATCCCAGCCAATTTAATGCTTTCATATATGAGCCATTTTTACTTAAGGTTCCCAATGAAATAGTCCCTTTGCTTCTGTTTAACCCCAGTTCTTCCTTCCTGTACCCTCATCATGTCTAAAACAATCTCACAAACTGTAGCCTACTTCAATATTTCCCAAACACTGGTTCTCAGATAGTGCTGGGGAGTCTGGCTGGAATACACTAGTCTACAGAGAAAGCGTGCAGGAAGAGGTGGGCGGAGACAGTCTTTTTGTCATTTGTTATTAATTAAAGTATTTATTCATTTATTTATTGCCAGCTTGACTCTGGGCCGGCACCCTACCACATGAGCCATGCCTCTAGTTCCTGATTTTTTGCAATTCAATTGGAGATAAAGGTCTGGAAGTTTTGTTTGTTCAGGCTGGCTCTGAATTGGGATGCTCAGATCTCAGCTTCCTGAATAGCTAGGATTACAGGCATAAGACACCAGCTGCAATCTGTTTTTTTATAATGATTGCATATGTCTTTAGATTGCAATCTAAAGACAAATTGGAAACTTCCTGCTCTTTTTGTATCATAACATTTCCTCGTTCACAAAATGACATAAGTAAATGGTAGCCATTTTGTGACTACTCATCTCTTATGTCAGAATTTTTCTATTAGCTTACATTAGTTATACAGAGGACAATTTTATTGTTTCATTTCTACACGTTTATACTATGCTCCAACTAATCTCACCCCTCCTAAACACAAATCCAAAAGGCTTCTTTGTTCACTTTTCACAGTTGCAATCTATTTTTACCACATTCATCCACTTTCAAAATGTATTTTAAAATTATCTGTTCCCTTTCATTCTTTTTCCCTCTCCTTTCCCAATCTCTTTCTAAAGAGTCCATTTGTTAGATACATACTGTTTTATTTGCATATCATTAGGTAAATGGATCTATACTGAACATCAATCTCTTCTTATGAAAAATTCCAAACACAAAAGAGAATAGTATACAAATATATAGTGAATTCCCACATTCATTGAGCAGTAACAATCATCAGCTTTGTTTACATCCAGCCCAAAGAAATATTGAAAACTGGTCCTCTTATGTTTTTCCCCAAACCATAAATCCTAAGAACATGGAAACAATTAGACTAGGCCAGTCCACAAATTTCACAGGTGTAGATAAAGAGACTGCAGAGATGAAGTGACCTGTTCCCAGCTAGGCAGCTGGTTAGGTGCAGAGACCATGTACCTGGGTGGCCATGATACCACTATTGAGATAATGCGCCCACCAACCCCTACCACCTGGCCAGACATCAAATTCAGACTACCCAGGACTGCAGAAAGGCCACAAATCTCAGCCCAGGGTATTGCATACACACTATGAGATCATACAGATCAACCCAAGAGGAAACCCATCACCTAGGAACCTAAGTATACTTCTTCCTCTCCTGCTAGAGCAATTGTCCTCTAGCCCCAGAGACTCCAGGAACTACTCATTTCAGTCCAAAGGCTACTGGACTGAAACAAACTGATGTGAGTGAATGAGAATTAATGCAATAAGGTCTCCTTGGTGAAAACTATCATTATTCTCATAGGCTCTTTCCCTCACCCAA